AATAAATAATATTTTATTTCCCTCTCACATTTTTTTCAGCCCAAGCTTTATAAGTATACAAAAAAATTATAAATGAATTATTTTTCTTTCCTCCACAAAACTTTTGTAAATTTGTCACAAAAAGAAGTTGGCAATATGAAACTCGTTTTATAAATGGTTGTGGGAAGTTGTTCAATCCAAAATGCTATTATACGCCTTTTTATTTGGGACTTCAATTGAACGTTTAAAAAAAAGGAATTTTCAAATGTTTTCTTTTAATTATTAAAAGCAAATTGATAAGTATTCCTTTGATTTTTGCAAAAAATTTTGAAGTTATAATGAGATTATTTAAAAAAAAAGAATAATCATTTCATATCTAAAAAAATTTGAATATTTTGAGAGTGAAATTTTAAATACGATGAATATATGTGAGGTCGTTAGGACCCGAGAGTCTTGTCTTAATTAGCCAAAATGCAAATATTGCCTTTAGTACATTATATAAAAAATCTAGAATGCTACAGAAAAGGCAGGAAAGGGGTTTTAATGAAGGAAAAAGATGATACTTTATTTGATTCAAGATGGAAGGGGAGGGAAAATAAATATATATAAAAAAATTTACCCTTGTATAAGTAAAATTAATTTTTCCTAATAAAATATAGTAATGCATATTTTTAATATATAGTTATACGTATATAATTATTCATAGTTCTCATATATATATATATATATTGCCAATAATATATTCAATAATAATTTACTCAAAATTTATAAACCAAAGGTATGAAGAAGCAGTAAATTTATTAACATAAAATAGAATAGTAACAAAATATGACCCAAAAAAATAGAAGAATAAAAAAATAAAATAAAAGGGAGAACAAAAATGATGATGTAAGTTAGGAGGAGGAACGCAACTTGAACATAAGAGCACATGATAGCAAAGAAAGAGGAACATTTTTAAATTATTATATTATAGAAAGGGTATGTTAGTTCGATACAACAAAGTTATACCCCTTCCCTCCTCATCCCCTCATTTTGGAGGGTATGGTTTGAAGGAGAGGGGAGGGGAGGAAAATTAAAAAAAAAAAAATCCCTCCCTTTCCCTCCATTTTTATTAATCAAGCAAGGGGAGGGGAGCAAAATCTCTCCTCTCCCCTCCCCTACTCCCAAACCAAAACATACCTTTTCTAATGAAGAGGATTTTTTAGTTTGAATTGTTAACTCTAATGGTAGATATTTTATTAAGGAGGGTTATGACTAGTTAATTCATTCCAATCAAAATACTCCTTTTAATCCTGATTTTTCATGAAAAATCTTTTGAAAAATGAAATTTCCTTCTAAAATAAAGTTATTAATTTGGAAAATCATTCAAAAATCTTTGTAAGAACAAATTGCCTTTTGATTCATCATATTAACATCATTGAAATTTTTTTTCTTTTGTCAATGCTCAAATGAATCATTGGATCATATTTTCCTGCTTTGTCTTTTTGCTAGAGCAATTTGGTTTGGATCTCTCTTAAATTTAAGAACGTCTATGGATCCAAATAGTTCTTTGCTTGTTTGAATTAAACAAAGGATTTTATTGCTCATAGGGGAAAAAGGATCGACTTTCATGCAATTCTGCCTTGCCTTTTCTCATCATTAATGCAATATGGAGTTGCAAGAATCAAAAGTGTTTTCAAAATTTGAATGTCATGCCAATGGAAGTTCTTTTAATGGCACAAAGGAATTGCTCTTACTTTGTCCACTGTAACTTGTTTCAAGCTCCATCTCATACATAGATAAATTCTCAACATCCACATACTCAATTTCGTCCAAGGAACTTCAATGAAGATATTCTTCGAAAGTTGAAAATATGGAAAGCTTATTGTTCAATTAGAAAATCCAAGACTGTCAAGAAAACTCATCTATGCATTGTATTTAATGATTGTATATCATACTCTGGGGAGTCGAGGATATGTATGAGAAATAACATTCAGTTACTTTTGCATATGGTTCGCTATGGCATATTATTCATCAACAATATTGGGGTATGCTCCAGCCATACCCTCAAATATTTGTATTTGTATTTTAATATTAATATATGTTTGCTTTTTCGTCCCAAAAAAAAAAATCAAGCCCACTTTATATTTATGAATAAAGGAGTAGAAAGGAAGGAAAAGAAGAGATGAAGGCTAGGATAGAGAAGGTAGAGGGATGTAGGTGGAGGTGTAGGAGTGGCCAAGTAGGTGTAGGGAGAGGTGTAAAAGGATGTGTCATGGGCGACATTTGGCCCAATCATCCACCGTGTCGCCCTTTCCACACTCAACCTCCGCACTTTTTGTTGTGCCCCTCCCCAACTTTTCCTTTATTCTCACTTCCTCATCGTTTGTGTCACTTCCCTATCTCTTTTTTTTTTTTTTATCTATTATCTTTAAGTATGTTGTTATTATTATTATTATTATTATTAGATGTAATCACATTCAAGACATAATCAAATATTAAATATAAACATATTTTTTAGTGAGAATCAAATCTTAATTTGCCATGTAATGAAAAAATAATTTCTTCCGTTAAAATCAACTTCTATTAATTATTCTTTATGTTTATTTAAATATAAGTAAGTTTTAACCAATTCATATAATTTAAAAATTTGATAAAATATAATAATGATGTTTGAAATTTAAAAAATTTAAACTGAAATACTTTCGTAATTGATTTTTAGCACGTGCAAGAATCATTTTGTCTAGTGAAAATTGATCCCAATTTCATGAGGGACAATTTGAGAAAAATACGATAAATGTTTCATAAATTTTATAGTTTTTATAACAATTTTTGTATAGTAAAAAACGTGCGGAGGGATAATTTGTATATATCTGTGTATATAGAAAGCACTATACCAAAAAAGTGAAATGCTATAAACACTGAGTGCACTTGCTTCAAGCTCCTCTTCAAGGTATGCATGGAATCATATTTTAGTTCTCTGAATGGTAATTATCACTCAATTTATCTAACTCAAATTAAAAATTCAACGTTATATCTATCAAAAACACTCAATTTTCTAAAGAACTTAAATAATAATAATAATAATAATTTCTCAATACATTATGCAATACTCCCTCCATTTTAAATTATAAGACACTTTTAGACAAAATCTCACATATCAATAAACTTCATTAAATATACTTAACAATCTTATCTTTTTAAAATATAAATATAAATTTTTAAAAATATTCATCATTTAATATATTGAAAAGAGAGATAATGGAAATTAATTATAGAGAGAGAAAGAATAATATTAAAATTGATGTATTTAATGAAATCTTAATATACTCAAAATGTCTTATATCTTGAGATGAATAAATTTCTTTAAAAGTGTCCTATAATTTAGGATGAAAGGAGTACAATATTAATTGTCATTATTGTATAAAATGATTAAATTAACCTCTGATTACTAAATATTAACTCCAATAATCATGTAGCCCAGCCCAAACACGGCCACGCACCTAACATTTAATTAAGAAAAAAGACAACACAATAAACCATAGATTACTAGGCACTAGGCCCAAAGAAATAAACACGCATTTGAAACGTTCAATAAAATCTGATCCTTCACTTAATTGCAGTCATACTCGTACCTGTAAATATTAGCTTGTAATTAATTGCTCCATTCATCCTAAATTACAAGATAATATGAAATAATATTACACATATTAATAAAATTTAATAATAACACTTTACAAATTTATTTTTTAAAATAAAAATATAAAATTTTAAAATTACCTTTCATTTATATAACTTTAAAATTGCACGTATACTTAATTATTATATATTATAATTATTTTAATTTTTTGTCCCCTGGAAGAATAATATTAAAAAAATTATTAATAAAAATTTATTTTTATATTGTTTATAAAGCATATTAAATACACTTTACAATCATATTTTTAAAAAAAATATATGAACTTTTAAAAATGCTCTTAATTTAATATTCATAATTTTATAATAGTAGAAAAGTATCATTAATGAAATATTATTTTTGTTAAAGTATCTTATATTTTAAAATAATGAATCTTTTTTAAAAATGTTTTATAAATTGAGATGAGAAATATCTTCAAAATTGAACTATAATTTGGAACCCGTGGAGTATTATTTGCAACTTTCATATGATAATAAAAAAAAAATTGCGGTCAATGTGTGAAGGACGCACATTTATTCGACCTCAAAAAGGATTTAGCTACATATGGTTTCTTGAAATTGTTTAACCCATCTATATTATTATGTTTTCCAAATGTTAGTGGATTTGAGCTGATAGCCTGATATGCGAAGTCCCATATGAGACATATTGGTCTTAATAAAATTGAACCTTGAAATTTTAAGTTAAGGTACGGTATTATTCTGCAGCTCTTATCTATTTGTTCTTTGCCCCGTTTTTGGTGTTCACTCCCCATTTGCAGCACATATTAATTATTTGCCTTTTTTACATGTTTATATATGATCTAGACTGTACCAAGTGTGTATTAATTGAACGTGAATATTGTCAACACCATCTGTTGGTTCTTCTTACACGCCTCAATGATGCAAAAATCTATATCAGATGCCAAGTCTTGAAACAAAATTAGCTAAAAGAAACACAGCTTGCACAAGCAATACTCCAAACGGCATGTGACATTGATTTGCTTCTTCACACTCTCCTCTCCCTCCGTCTTTCTCTTTCTTTCTTCATTGATTGTGTTTAGTCAGTTGGCCGGTTAATATAAAAGCGAGTGTGTTAATTAGTTATATATGCATATGTAGTAGTATTAATTATACTACGATATAAAAATATAGCACTCGATCGTACATATTCTCGAATCACCCTGAGGAGTTTTAAAAACAATCAGAATCAGACACGTACAAAAAAGTGCATTGATATGCGTAAAGGGCTCGGTTTAACTCCTCTCTCTTCTTAGCTTTTCTTTAATGATATACAAACTCACGAAATCCTCCATGAAAGAGGAAGAAAAGAAAATTATGTTGGAAGAATTAATTAAGAGACACAGATATAAACAAACGACTAATTAATGGCTTCCGAATAAAGCTTTGATTTACTTAATTATACATATATATCTTTCATTAAGCTGGAGCTAGGACGTCCTTTCTCCTTCATTTCTGGCTAGCTTTGCCAAGAGGAAAAGAAAAACAAGGGGCAATATACGTTATACATATATAGATATATATAGATATATATATATATACCGAGTGAATTAATTTAGGAACATTTCATGAGCTGAGAGGTAGTGAGAAGACGACGCATTACTTGAACTTGAGATCGGAGGGATTGAATGTAATCTAGGGTTTCTTCAATCAAGGTCACATCATCGTCCATAAGATCTCCACCTGGAACAAGCCTCTTAAGCTTTTCTCTTCTCTTTTGGACAAGCTTCCTTGCAATGGAATCCGCCATAGCTGTTTTCTTCTTCTTCGCTCCACTACGGACTGTACGGCTCCTTCTCTTCATGATCTTCCTGCTGCTGTTAAGTAGTGTCCTCTTGTTCCTAACCAGTGAAGAAGAAGAAGAAGAAGAAGTGTAAGGCTTTGTTAGGCTGAAGCACAGTGATGATGAGGACCCTATTACGTGCTGCGTCAGGACTTTGCTGTTGTGGTCTCTCGAAGCAATATTGGCAATAAGGGCTCGGCTCCAACACTTGGTTTCAGTTCTGCTGCAAGCCATCGCTAAATCTGCTGACACTTTTATGGTCTTCTTCCTCTCCGACAAGCTCATGTTCTTCTTCAGAGACTTACATTTCTCCATACCCTCCATCCATTTCTGGAGAAATTCTAGCTTCTCTGAGCTGGCCTTTTTCATTCTGTGGGGGAAAAAAAGCATTAGAGTTACATACATAGAACTGAACTGATGATAGCTAGGGCTTTCTCAGGGGAATGAATGAAAGTTAATTATATGCTTACCTCTTGTCCAATTTTTTTCTGTTATTGGACAGTAGAAAGATTCAGATATAACGTATGCGTTTTGATTTGCCGTGAGACGAAGTGTTACAGAACCAGAGAAAGTAAAAATGGATCGGGGAGAGAGAGAGAGAGAGTGAGAGGAAGAAGAATGAGGTGAAGGGAATTTATGTGGTCGAAAGACGGAAAGTGGTGGGGCGTAGAGAGAAAGACAGAGCACATGGTGGCACATGTAGTGCCTGGCCCACGCAACTTAAAACTGAAATAAGAAGAGTGTAATTTGTGCAGATTATACGACAAATTGAAATTGTTTTTATCTCAACTTCATCCATTAAAAAAAAAACTGAAATGATATAATTAAAATCATACTATCATGTCTGAGATTTTTATTTTTTTTTACTTTTTACGTACATAAAATCTGTTTTTATAATTTTATGTCCTCCTCCAAATGTATTCTCTATACATTTGTTGCTATAGCTACTTAAGACATGAGTTATATTTCTAATATGATAAATGTGCATTTTGGTCCCTGCACTTTACTCGTATTTTATTATAGGCATCTATTTTTTTTTTTTTGCTATTTTACATTCATCCAAAATCCCTACACTTTATTCATTTTATTTATTTAGGAACCTAGAACATAAAAAAAATAAAAATGTAGAAACCCAAAATTTAAAAAAAAGTGTAAAGACCTGTAACAAAATACGAGTAAAGTACAGGAAAGAAAGAAAAGTGATGTTTTCCCTATGATATTAGCAGTAGTTGATTGTTGTAATACAAGTTGTGTTAACTATTAATAGAAAGCTCAAGGTGCTAAATAATAATTTAAAAATATTCCAAGAGTCTGTTACCATTGCCTAATACTAATTTACAGTATTAGCTAAAAGTTACCAACATATAATAAAAGAGAATTGACATGATGGGAAGGAGGTGACTACGTTCTTATACGGTTCTTATACCAATACACTTTTTTTTTTAATATATGCATAAGTTTAACTACAGAGACACGTGAAGCTAATTAATGGAATGCGAACCTAACATTGGTATCTTGTTTTTAAATAAAAACAAAAGTCACTAATAAACAAGACTCTTTTCAAAACATTTTGGCTATGTGGCCCACGATTGGAAATCCAATTGAGGCAGATTGTCCCTTAACCCGCGGATACATTGTTTGTCCATTTATCATACGCGTACGCTACTTTCAATCACTCATTGCATTCAAAGCATCGTTTTTGACATCCGTTAATTTCATATACTCCCTCCCTTACAAAATATAAAGTATTTTTAACCGAATCTCAACTTTTAATAAAATAATTATTTACTTTTTAATTAATTCTATCTTTTCATATTTACCCCTATTAAATACCCTACAATAAATATAAAGTCATTATTGATAGGGATACTTTTAAATAAAAAAGCAATGATTATACCTTAAAAGATTAAAAATATCTTATATTTTTAAACATTTAACTTTTTAAAAAATACCTTACATTTTTTAATAGAGGGAGTACCAATTGCGTCAATATATTCTTAAAAAATTATATCTTTTTACATCAATTCAAGTCTACTTTTCTTTTAAATGTGAGTCCATAAACTTCCTAAAGAGAGTGCTTAAAAATGGGAGAAAGATATTGCATTTTAATTTAAATTCACGGGTTCTTCTTTTTTTAATTATATATTATTTATTAAGCTTAAGCTTATTTCATGTAAGGCTTCCCATATTGACTCAATTCCACTTATATCTAATAGTAAGTTTCATAATTAATCCATTTTGAATAAGAACAGTATATATAGTTTATCTTGAATTTCATACATTTACACGAGGCTCGCACTAGTTATTAATTATAATTAATGTTCTTAAGCATCAAACATTAGAATTCTCTTTTATATCTCTGCTATATGATTTAACCGATTCAACATTTCTCTCATTGCAATATTGCAATTGAGAGTATTGCATCAGTTATATATCAACGCATCCGCTGAATGATATATCTTACTTGTAAAGCTTAATGATAGTTTTGGTTAACAAATCATTGTAAGTAAAATTTAGAACACATCAATGTAATAATTATATAAAATAAAGACTGAAGTAGAGAAGGGTAGTTCAAGTCCATGCCATCTCACCTGTTATAATTAAGTGTCTGCGACTCTCTTTATGAAAACATAAAGCAGCGAGAGATATGTTGTAAAAGTTATTACAAGATGAGATTAGGACATTTTCCTATCACATGATTAGGTTACGACATGTTAGTAAAATATAAAACATCAACAAGACATTTAGTAATTACATGATGCGACATTGGTTATATATAATTGATTTGATTGCTTGTTCGGCTTGATTGATAGTCACAAACAGTGTTTTATATGGCTTCACTTGAACCATGGCAATAATCAAATTAAAAAATTCCATGATTCATTTGTTACATTGAATTGGATCACCATATGATTAAACTAATATAAACAGTGGCTCAGCTGTGTGAATTGGCAGGAAATACACATTATTTTAATTTATTGGAAACAATAAATATTAATTAGGATTTGCTATATAAAATCCAAATGAAGGTGCTGACAATCTTATTCACACAAAATCATAATTTAGTTAGATAAAATGCATGCATTTGGCCAAGTTCTGATCAAATAATATGTTTTGGACACAAAATTAATCAAGCATATCCCACAAAGTATTAACAAGATTCGCTATGTCTGCGTACAAGGTTGGAACTACATTACGTGCCGGCAAAATCTCTACGTATGATAAAAAAGTGTTTGTCGACATTAATATACATGATTCACTTTTATTTGTGACTTTAATAATCAATCTATAATATCATATACAAAGTTACATTATTTATGAGCATCTTAAACTCCCAATAAAATATAGGATTAGTATTGAACAAAAAATAAAAAATTCAAATAGACTGTTTTTTTTTATAAGAATATAGACTGGTATTTTTAACAGGGGTTCCTTATCAAGTTTTAAAATGGAATCTGTAAGCTTTGTTAATCCTATATAATTAGTTAATTTAAAATGTAAAGTTAAAGGTCCAATTTTTAATGGTAGAGTGTGTTACTATTCTACTTTTTTTCTTCGCTGTGTCGTATCTTTATCACGGTTGTGTCCATCAATGAGAAATGGGTTACGCCGCTGATTGTGGTATTGTAGTACACTGATGTAAGAATTTTAAAATTATGGAAGAATGACCAAAAAATACCCCAAAAATATGTAAATGATAATTAAATACTGTAAAATGTGATAATTATTATTTAATTAGTTCGTAGGAAGTAGGGACATTTTGATTTTTGATGAAATAACATATCTTTTTCTCGGTACAGTGACAGAATATGGCATAAACAATGTAAGATGTATTTAATTTTTTTCACATTTAATTTGTATTTGTCTATGTATATTTTACAATTTACATCACTATATACATATAGATATGTTTCTATAATTTGCATGAAATCTAATAGTACTATTTATGACATAAATTATGCTACATGCTATATATTTATTTATGTTGTATTAATAGAAGAAATTGGAGAAAATTTGAAATGAGAAGAAGAAATGGAATAAGAATTAGACTTGATTACATTAGGTCGTCGTCTTCTTGTCATACTAGCAATTAGTAGCAAAAACGTTCAAACGATACACCAGAAAAGCCAAAACAACAAACAGGAGGAGAAAGCAAATAAACCACAAATAAAAAGATAAAATGAAAGCAAACAGCATGTGTTGGAATCAACAGACTCCAAATCTGTCATCTGCACAAGAGGGATGATTCATAGCTAGAGAAGCCACCATGATATCCATTGCTAGAATATATATTAAACCAGCTTCGGCCGTCCAGTGGTTAGCCATCATGTTACCTTAATACCCTTGCATAAAGCTAGAAAAATGAGTGAGCTCAATCCTTATGAGCCCGGCCCATAAGAGCCTAAGCCCTTAATTAAACTTGATTTTTTATTTTTTACCTTACTTTTTAAACCCATCCCTTATTTGAAGGGTTTAGGGTCTGGCCCTTAAACCCTATTCTAAAAAAAATTAAAATAAAATTAAGCACTATAAATTAATTAAAATATTTTAAAATTAAAAAAATCTCATAATTTTTTAAAAATTAAACAACATACATTTAGAAATCTAATAAGAAAATTTAAATCTTGATTAAAAAATAGTTTATTTTTTATAAATACAAAAACATAATAATTATAAAAAATATTAAAAAATTTATACTATACACTGATATTTATTAAATTATATTAAATCAATTTTAGAATAAATTAAAATTAATAATAATATAATGCGTGTAGGATTAGAACTTCAGATGAGCAGGTCCTTCTTGGCTTCAAATGCGTGTTCTACTAAAAAAAAATTAATAATAATATAACAAGGTTTAAAGGGCTGTCCAATCTCGAGTTCTTTTTTACAGGACTTATTAAAGCTAGGCCCTTAAACCCGATTGCTTTAAAAAATTTAATTTTAAAAGTCTAAACTTTTATTTAAACAGAGCCTTCAGCCTGGCTCTCTAAGCCCAGTGCTACCCCTGCACATAGGGACAAATCTAGGAATGATCATATGGGGGGCCATAACTAAAATTTTATCTAAACGTGGGGGCCTAACATTGATTTGTACATTTTTCATAAACAAAATTATAACTATTTTTTAAATTTTTTTAAGTATTGGGGCCACAAAACACTGCATGGCCCCCCTAAATTTGTGACTGCCTGCATAACCATTGGCTGAGTTCAATTCGTCGATCCCCAACACAGTTAATTAGTATCAGACACATTCCACAATCACTTTGCCATTTCCCAAGTCTACAGCCAATATCAACGCTTTTTTTTAAAGCTAATGCTCCAGTCATAAAAGTGGAGAGAGACTCGACTTTTTCCACAAAGCCCACATGATTTCTACTAACTATTCCAAATTGCAGTAGCAGTGCTTGTTTTTGGGTTAAAAGAACCATCTCAGTTAAACTTTATGAATAGTCTGAAGGTGGAAAATTCCAGGAGCATATCACATTCTCAACTCTTTCCACTTTCTTAAACTTAAAAAACTGTTGTTTAAAAAAAAGTCATTAATGTATAGGATTATTAAGTGTAAAATGAATTATGATCGAGGAAATTAAAGATAAGATCAATAAAATGAAATAATTAATGAATGA